CTTCCAGGAATGCCCAAGAGAGCTAACGAACATAAATCACATTGACAAGAGATGGAAGTACCTTACTATATTTTTCATTCCTATTTTGTTAAATTTCACTTTTTTTTTTACACGATAGTATATTTTCTGTTACTTAAAGAAATGACGATCCATCAATAACAAAGATTAGAACCTAAACCATGTCTTTGGTTTACTTAACTACTATTGACTTCTATAAATTATTTGGGCCTAAAGTCACAAGTTTTTGAAAATCTCTTGAGGCTTGCCTTTCTCTTACTGTCAGCATGAATTGCATCTAAATCATTTTACACAAACAGGTGTCCCCTGTCAGGTTTCAGAACAAAGAGAAGATCAACTCCCTGTGGCAATCCTTTTAGTCTCTAATAGCTAGCTGCTTTTGGGAATTTCATATATCTTAAATCCCTTCAAGAATAACATGCACTCTTTGGTTTATATAATATAGCTACTTTGTCTTGTCCATATGCTCTAATAACTATGAATACTTCTTTCCTGTACTGAATTCACTTGCATATTTATCAAGTATCACTAATCGTTAGCTATAGTCTTTTCATGATGGTCAGTACTGAGAAATATCATTAAAACCAAAATTTCCACACAATGATATTAATACTTCCTTAAAGCAGTGTTAAATGTAGTAAAAGTCCAATACAGAAATAATTGAAGAATCATTTTCCTTGCCTTCAAAGAGATTTTGAACTACATTCCAAACCTATGAAAACACTCATTATTTATAATGGTTCATTTTCTTCATCTAAACCCTTAACATGTCCTAGATATTGCTTATTAAGAGTTTATGTCTTATGCTTCAATAGTCTCATATTATACATTATACTGACTTTAAGGAAAAAAACATTTTTCATGAAATGTCTCTATTTTATTTTACCTTTATCTTTCTAATATTGCATTGATTCTGTAGAACCCTCACTGATAAACCCCAATCTGAACATTAAAAGCACTTAGCTACTGATTTATTTAATCATTAATTAAGACATTTCCTTGAGCCCCAAATCTGTTTTAGCACTCTATTTTGGCACTGTATATTATACACATACAAAATTTATGATTCTTACACTCAACATCTTATATTCTGGGGATACATGGAAGCAAAGAGGAATGTACAAAAGCCAAATCATCATGGACCCTTCTCTCTTCTCCATTTCTTTATCCAGGCTCCTCTAACTTCATTTCTCAACAGTGTCCTAAATTCTTCCACCAAATTACATCCTATATTTTAGTTTCTCCAAAGTAATACAGTCATACTTTGTCCATACTAATTCTTCAACTGTTTGTATTACTTCCCTGCTCCCATGGCTCGCTCTAAATCCTCATAGATACACAAACTAAATACACACACACACACACACACACACACACACACACACACACATTGCTGACAAAGACCATATTAACCTCTTTGAATGGCCTGGTACAGATACAACATTTTAGGAACTTTAACTCTTTCAGCAAACTAATGGTGATATTTTAAGTTAAAATGCTCTACAAAGACACAGTAACAGTATAAACAGATTATTGTATTTGCAGAAAAATGCCCTAAATGAAAGAAGGAAGGAAGATGGGATGGGGAGTGAAGAGGGAAGAAAAAAAAGAGAGGAAGTAGAGGAACAGAGGGAAGAGAAGGGAGGGGAAAAAAAGAAGAAAGGGATAATCAAGAATATTAAGCTATATTTTCTGAATTGGTTGATATACAAAAGATTCTCCAACCACACATTTGCTTTACATATGTTTTTGTACAGAATTCTTCAAATGACAGCAACTCAAATGTTTACTTACTCAATTGCTCTAACACTTCACACACTTGAGGAAGATAAGTAATATTGATAGTCTGCCTCTTTTCTCAAGTATTGTTTATAATTTTTTAAAGTACAAAATGGTTGCAGGAGAAAAATCTATTGTGTAATCAAGGCTGAATATCCTTTTCCAATAATGTTAAAGGTCTTGATTTTAAATGTATGCACATCCTTAGAGACCAAATATAATGCTTATTTGTTACAACATTCACATATATGAAATGATATTCAAAACATTACAAAGTTTTATTTTTAATACTTCAATCAAGATTTTATAATTATATAACTGCCTTATTAAATTTAATTTGCTCCTTAAATTAATAGCAATAGGGGTGTATGCCAATGTGATAAAAATAACGCATCTCCAGCTTGTGTAATAAGAGCTCCTATTGCTTTCAAATTAGGTTTGTTAATGAGAAACAAATACTTCTGAATTTTTGTGGAATGACCATATGTGTTAGGTTAAAGTAAACACTACACACAAATAACATGCCATAAAAATTCAACACTAATGTGTGCATTATAATTTTATATATACTCGATTAATAAAATAGCTAATTCTGATTTTCTGGCAGTCACAATGAATTTTTTAAAAAAAATTCTTGTAAAAGAAAAAAGCATTGAATCATGTTTACTGAACTTTCACAATGATTAATAAAATCAAGAACAAAAAGAATTCAATGATAAGAATGAAGAACAAGGATAAGCAGCCTTCTTGGTTAATATGCAAGATCCAACATTAAAAATTGATTTTGAATCCCTGGCCTTAGTGACTCTGGTTTTATAGGTTGGGCTGGGCATGAAGATTAAGCCATTAATCTTTTAAGAAGAAGATGCCAAGTGTATTCCTCTTCTACTTGATATATGGAGATCAGTAATGATGCTATTCAGTAAGCTATCTGGTCTCTCATACAAAAAGGTGCCATAGTAACAAACATCAGTTGAAATGAATCCAAGTTGAATGAATAAAAGTTTATGGATAAAATAATATTAATTTCCAAATTTCATACTTAATATCCCAAAACAAACCAAACATACTTCCATCTATATGGGACTTAGTATAGACCCTAAAAGAAGTTATCTTAATTCACGTTCTATACAAAGGTAAAACAAGGCAGGTATTAGGTTTTTGCAGCATGCTTATTTGTCATTATTACGTTATGATATTAAAAACATATTTGGTTTGATTATTGACTGTATTCATAAGTTGAAAACAGCAAAGTCTCAGAAATTCCACCTCACTTACGACATCATTTCAGTTAACACCTCTGAAAATAATTATTTGTATCATTCAAAAGAAAATTTGAATTTGAAACAGGTTAATGAGCCTTCCCATGTCTCTAGAGCAGTAGATACAAATTTTACAATTGTCCCACATTTCTAGGTCTGACCTATAATCCTCAAACACAAAAAGTATTTCCCAATTTGCTAAAACTTCTTGCATTCAAATTAGAGCTTATATAGAATGGAGCTGATACCACTATTTTATGATGACAAAGTCATGTGTGCATTTCAGTAAGTGAATCAGATCTAATATACACAAAACTGACAAAACAGATTTTATATAATCAAATGTAATAACTAGAATAATGAGTGTTTTTTAAAGATTCAATCAATAATCATATTTTAACTGTAGAGGCTCCTATCAATTAAAAATACCTCCTAAAATTGATGAAATAATATGAATCATAGAAACACTATTTTTCACATTGCTTACAAACGCATGAATGGCATATACAGCAGCAGTACCAAAAAATGTTCTGGAACCTATGATGAGCTCACCTTTTACATTCAACCCTGAACCAAACTCTCATCCATGCACAAAGCTTTTCCCAATTTCTTCCCAAACTTTCTCCCCAATAGGGGTTCACATGAGCAAAATTGCTATTTCCCTTGCCTGTGGCTTTTTTCATCAACATGAATTTGAAACCTCTTAATCTAGGGGAATGTGATGGTTGCTGCACAGCCCCATCTCAAATTTTTTCATGCTCTCTCCTTTCTGAATTCCAAATATTCAATTCTTGGTATCACAACTTTCAACTTCCTATGGCTTTGTGAACATTAACTCATCTTTTTTCCTTAATGTCTTTCTGGAACTAATGGAGAACACATCCTGATTCTAGCAGCTAAACACAATTCATATCTTCTTCCTTTATGCTTAAAAGCTATAACTTCAAAACTTCTGTAGTCTTACATCAAATGTGAACTTTTCAAGGCTTTGTATTATAACTGACATTATAGTTTCATATCAGTATGTATTAAGTCCTCCC